AGTCTGGAAGCGGCAAACGGCCGGCGCGTGCGGTGTGGCTTCTGATCCGGAGCCACCTGACCTACTTAGTCGCTTAATATCAGGTTGTCCGGAAATTAATGCAGGTTTTGAATTTCAACCACAATAAGTTATACACTTCTCATTTTTAGACAGGTCGCAAAGTACTGTTCGATAGAGCAAAGCAAGGTCTACCAGATGGCTCTCTTTCTCTAGCAATAGCTCTGACACCACGAGTTTCGAGCCAAAAATTAAAAAGATTCAAAGTCCGAAAAACTGAGAAAAATCGTAACTCAGTTCATAAAAGTCCTACAAAAATTCTAACTTGTTCATGCAAACACTATCCGCAAAAGACATCTATAACGCCGTTGCCGTATTTTTTTCTCTGTCAGAAATTGAGAGAACGGTGATTTTCTCACTTGTGCACTTGCCAAAGTGGTGCTACGCCGTCCCACATAAGTAGCTGTATACTATAAACTGTAGAAGTACAATCGTAAATTTTCAGCTCTCTACAAGTTCTAGCTCTCGAGAAATTTGAATTTTAGGTTGGACTGACCAGGGAAATCTATATTCGTTATTTCTCGAGAACCAAAGCATGCAGATAGCTGAAAAAATACGTTTGTGCTTCTACAGGTTTGTAGATTACAACTACTTATGTGGCGACGGCACAGCATCACTTTGGCAAATGCCCGAGAATTTCCATTTTTTTGGTTTCTAATAAAGGAAAAAATACGGCAACAGCATGTATAGATGTCAAGGATAGACAGTGTTTACATGGGCAAGTTAGAATTTTTGTAGGATTTTTATAAACAGAGTTACGATTTTTCTCGATTTTTTGGGCAGTTGAATCTTTTTAGTTTTTGGCTCGGAAATTGAGGTGTATGAAAGCTTTTGTAAAAACAAGATCGCCTTCTTGTAGAGCTTGCTTTGCTCTATCGAAAGATATTTTGCAACCTATTTAGGAATGAGAAGCGTACGACTTATTGCGGTTGAAAATCAAAACCTGCATTAATTTGCGGACAACCTAGTACAGTGCGTCAATATGGAAAAAATGTTCACAAACTCATATTTTGTTTCCTGCTGATAATCATAGGTTTTCATAGAGACATTTTACATAAATAAGGTTGTTTTTACGCTTTACAGTTGCATGAATGTGCGGTCGCAAAGGTTTGCGCCACTATACTAGATTTTTCGAGGCTGACTAACGGAGAGGAAAGGGTTAAGGTTGTCCAAGAGCTAGTACAGTGCTGGCCAAGATTGTGGATTCATCCAAAAAACGTAACTTACTTGGTTGTCAATAAATTAGAACGTGGTCTAGCTGTGCTTACACCAGACCAAAGTGGGTCTCGCTTTCGTTCGTTTGTTCTTCTAGGGTGTAAGTAAAAATAGCTGGAGTGAATGGGGAGTAAAATTGTAATCCGCTCATAAGTTCATTCACCAAAAGTTTTTTGCCTCCAAATTTTTCATGCCTATAGATTGCGCTGCTTTATAAGTTTTATACCTGTGCTGTTGTCTTTTCGAAGCATATTTCAAAAATTTCCGCCTTCATGCTCTATTTGTACTGAAGCTTTTTTTGCTTTTTCTGACGCGTATTAGATTTCAAGAGAATTTTCATTCTAACGGGATTGAATGCCCGAAAGCGCAGATGGTGGGTCTCACCTATGATGTACGTTGTAGAAAGTCTTGTTTGCTTTGAACTTGTGTTGTTGCTACGCGCACTTTGTTGTATTACCTGAAATTTGGGTAATCGGACTGTATTTCAGTAAAACTATAACAACAATGATATAGACACCGTGGAAGTGAAGTGCCTCCCCCCCCCCAAAACTTGCCAACTCAAACCTTATTAGGATACTTGTGGAATAGCCCCCCCCCCCCAAAGACTTCTTAGTGAGCTTGAGACTTGTCGTTTCTAATCTGAAGTATCTGCGGATCCAACCCTATGCCAGAAAACTTGTGGAGTGAAACGCCCAACGTAGGTACTTCATCAGCCGGTATCTACAGCCTCTGGATTCTTGTTGACTTGTGCATGCCATGTCACTGTTAAGTGATCTAATGATAAGCTCGGATACGCTAACTTGTGTAGTTCAAAGGCAGTGGATCAGCAGAATGGACCCTCCTCTCATTTTGGTGTATTTAGGTAGTAGACCCACCAAACACACTGTGGGCCGAACCCCATCTGCCAGTTCATACGCTAAGTCCTGAAAAATGTTCAAAACTCCACCCAGTTCCGCCCATTCAATGGAAATTGGCAGATGGGGTTTGGGCTACTAGTGTATTTGGGGGTCTACTACCCAAATTCACCAAAATCGAGAAGGGTCCATTCTGCTGATCCACTGCATCTAAAGCTAAGGCACTGATAAACTGATAAGGCATCCTCATTGACTTGTACTTACTTGTCTGGCTGACCACTTCCATTTCAAGGCACCATTTCAAGTCTACATGTTTATCAACAAACACAAACAATAGAATAAACGAAAACACAACAATTAACACAGCTAAAAATAATGGCACCACATTTCACTACAAATGCATGGAAGCCGCCTTTGACGACGATTAAGATAGGATATTGCTACTAAACTACTATACTTGTAATGGTATAACGGACCAGCATATGCATGTATTTGTTTCCGTACAAAAGTACCGCACACTACCGCTTGGAAAAGTTGACAAAAGCGTCCGGAATTTCTGCTATTGCTGGCGGCTGCTAAATATGCCTGTTAATCCTTATGAGGGAGCAGTGCTATGTCAAACGAGTCAGTTCTTGAAATAACATTGTAGAAATACTTGATCTTTTGTTGTTGTCATGAAACTTAGTATTCAATCAAAAGCTTGCCTTTTCTAAGGCAATTGAGTTTATCGACAGAAGTTAATTTTGGATGAAGTTATGATTTTCGAACACAAGAATCACGAAAAGGACAAAATTGTATGCGGCCCAAAACATTCACTTTTCTGCTGTTGCAGCCGTTTCGAGGGGGTTGCTTTTTGAACTGACAAGGGAATGGTCACAAATCAAAGTGGCTAATTCAAACAACTGGAGACCATTAGATGCAGCACAAAACGCTGACTTCAAATCCGTCTTCCTTATCTGCAGACCACGTTTGTGGATGGGATTATGAGACGTTAAAGGCCTGTTTGCGGCGTGTGTAAAGGGCAAACTTGGTCGTACAGAGCCATTCCTGGCTCAGTGCTAGAAAACATGCAGCTAGCTCACTTCATACGGCCAGTACCTAAAGTTGAGCGAAAAGGGCGATGATGTGCCTAATCTCGCAATTTCTGTGTACAGTTTCTTCGCACTATAGCTGGTCTTAACTTCGCTTAAAGGCGCTCTACAGAAATGGAAAACAGATTTGAAATCAGCTTTTTAAGTTGCATTGAATGGTATGCAGCTTGCTTGGATTGGCCACTTTGATTTTTGACCATTCCCTTGTGAGGCCGAAGAAAGGGTTGACGATGATGTGTTGTTGGTGGCAAGGCCGAACAAAAGATTTGCCACATCTTTAATTTACAACTTTTCGCAATCTTCCATATATTGTTCTCACTCCTCATCGGGCGCATGCGCAGCAAGTTTGGGGTCATCATTTATGTGCTTCTGCAAATGGGTTGTTCCTAGTCTTAAAAGGAAAATTGCAGTTTTTACTGCGGACCCTATTATGAATTACCTTCTTACTTATCCCGATACGATATCCAACTAGGCTACTTGCGCAAACTTGAACCTATTACAGTTTATATACTCTAAATTTCAAGCTAACTGTTGAACCTTATGCAAAAAAATATACGTGAACATAAATTACGCGCTGAAAATGGCTAGAAATTATTTCGACTCTGGACAAATTCGAATCAAGGGAGTTGCAACGCACAGAAGAGTATGGAAGACTAATCTTTTCGGACATTTGCCAAATCTATTTTCAACGCACTAGTAGTACTAGTAATTTGCTTTCTGGAGAAGGGACCCCAACTCTTTAGATAAAGTATGGGAAATTTAAACAGTAGATTTAATGACGTAAAAAAGCGTTAGACTTTTGAAATAGCGTTGTTTGTATGGAGGAAAAAGCAATTGGTGGAAAAAAATGACCTGTGTGCCTCAGATCAATTGATTATATACAGTTGGGCATTGGAACGATGCTTAGGGTTTTCATCTATGCTTATTGTAACATTTTTATTGATTTTTGACCGTTTAAATTTTTTCATTGTCAATTTGGTTCCTGGAACGTATTCTCCTCCGGAAACACTTCCGCGCATACATGAAAATTCGTTTCTACCAAGAATCTGAACCACAGTTAGACAAAATTTTCCCTGAACTAACTATGTTTAGTATACCAGTTTCAAAAATTCCACTGAATAAAGTAATTTCTTTGAGTAAGCTCTAAATGCAGCTTGACAAAAACGCTATCCCAAAAAGCACTATCTCCATGTCCGTGGATTCATAGCTTTTCGCCTTACACAGAAAAAGATGTCTATTCAATGGTTCAATCGAGGAAATTAAACGCAACAAAATTACAAGTTTTGTAATTCACCATGCTGTGATGCCAAGCAAAATAAGAATGTTTTGAATTTTTTTGATGAACGAAGCGTGTTGCTGTTCTCACCATACAAGCCCATGACAAGGCCATAAGGCAGTGCTGAATGTCGAGAAACTTATTGTCCATAAATATCGATGTCCAGGATGTTGATCTTAATTGCGGATGCGAGGCTGGAAATGACATTCAAATGAATCGGCACACTGTCAAATCATAGAAACCAGCCCTTTTATTCGAAGTTATGAGTATATAAGCGCCTGAGCCTATCTTAGATTATCTTTTGTATCTGAGCATCTCCCAGGTAGGCAAAGCTTGTCTTTCAAAATTTGGAGGTTTCAGATTTAATGCTTATGTGAAATTGTGTTTCAGTTCTTGAGCATGCCGAGGTTAATAGTAATTATACTTGCCCACATTGTTTCTTCTGAGGCTTGCTTTTTTGGCGGTGGTCTCGGCGGTCTCGGCGGCGGTCTCGGCGGTGGCGGCGGTATGACATGCTGCTGGTATGGGTTTTCTTTGTATATTCTCTAAACAACAAGTCATAAGCTATATTTCAGTTGCTGTCCACCTTGTTCACCTCCTGCACCGAGTTGTCCAAAATCTGCATGCGTTGGTGGTCCTCAGTGTCCTAGTGGAGGCGGTGGCTTGCCTCCCGGCTATGAGCCTAGTTTACCACCACCACCTCCACCACCACCACCACCACCTCCACCACCACCTCCGCCACCACCACCACCTCCGCCACCACCACCTCCTCCTCCTCCACCACCACCACCATCGCCAGCATCACCACCACAGCCTCCACCATCTGAACCTTATGTTCCACCTGTTTCAATTCCCGGTACTCTCCCTGCAGCTCCTTCGGCAGGAGTGCGACAGCCAATCTATCTAGTCATTCCGCAAATGACTAGTGGAGGTCCTGGCTGTGGTGTAGCTGTTACAGGTGGTAGTTTAGGTGGTTTGGGTGGCTTAGGAAGTTTGGGTGGGTTAGGTGGTCTAGGTGGCTTGAGTAGCGGTGGTTTGAGTGGAGGTGGAACTGGTGGCTTAGGCGGTGGTTACGGCGGCGGTGGTGGTGGAGGCGGTGGCGGTGGTGGTGGCCTTGGTGGCATTAGTGGCGGCGGTGGATGTCCTCCTATTCCTCCTCCCATTCCACCTCCCATTGCTCCTCCAATTCCTAGTGGTGGAAGTGGTGGAAGTTACGGTGCTCCAACGTCTGGTGCTAGTAGTGGAACCGGCTCCACTGGCAGTGGAGGTGGTTATGGAATTAGATTTATATGAATGTTTCTGTAGGATGATCTTTCCCTCATTGTTTGACGAATATATGTTATGTCCTGTATATCTACGAACGAAATGTACATGAATGATGATAATGTTTCACGTTCCCTCAAAAAGAGATTGCAATAAATGTTTTCTTGTCCAACATTCTTCACTCGGAATTAATCAATGCTAAACGAGCGCATCCTTTTGAGAAAGTTTCCATTATTTTTGCAGGTTAAATGATCTTTTACTGGTTCAGCTGCACCCTAAGATTAGCATATTCTTCATTTGATTGACGTTTTAGCTATGCCGCCCCTTCTTTAGAGTCTGCAATTGTCGAATGCGTAGATAGTCATTAAAAACCGCCATATGACTCAGAAAAGACGTCCAGTGCGTCATTGAATCGAAAGCTACATATATGCACGATCAGACTAGCGCTTACAAAAAATGCTGATGACTCTTTGTTTAGCAGAGCGTATATCAGCGGCTGAACTCTGAACTGTGGTGCCTAATGGTCTGGTTACAACTTGACCTTAGAAGGCGCAAAGGGTCTAATAAGCGGTCAACTCGGTGACGATAGCGCTATATCACCCCATGCAGTCTCAAAGTTTCGGCAGGAATCCAAAAAAAACCTTCAGTGTTTTGCACACAGATATTTTGCGTGCTATTGTCGTGAACTCTACAAGTCTGCGTCATTATGGAGTTGGCTGCGATGCATACACAACAATTTCGTTAAAAGTCAACTAGCGGTAAAAGGGGCATACAGTTCTTATTCTTATAAAAAAAAATCAAATTCAATTGAAAATAAAAATTGTTCAAAAATTCAATAGACAAAAAAATCCAATTGTTGGAAGTCATTGTGGGAAAGCTTGGCTAACCGTGCTGAGTTTTGATCAAAAGAATATTTCACATGCTGATCATAACATGAACTGCTCGATGTGACCTTAGCTTTAGGAAAAGTATTTTTCTATGAATTTTATCAACAGCCCTTGAGGTAAGTTTCATTACACTTGTAGAAAAATTTCTTTCGTATTCGCGATAGTTTTTTCTTCTCTTTCAGATTACATGGAGACCTGTAGCTTGATATTCATACAGAAAACTGATTTTTGATATTTTTGCACTTTTTCCAAGCCATTTTTGTCAAATTTGCAACTTGCACTATTGTGGAGAAAATTCTCGTCTGCTAATAGCACTGACGCTTCCGGAAATCCATTGAAAACTCTTAAAAGACGAAGGGAAAAATGGAGACTATGAAGAAAGGAAAGTCGGAGTAAAAGTTGTTACAAAATGCCTTAGTGCGCGGCGAAAAGGTGTACTTTCAGCCGTTTAACAAAATGACCTCAATTCGTGGACTTGAGCTCCATAATCAAAGTTGCGAAGGAACTCCAACTTTGAACTTTATCGCTCAGAAGAGCTGCTGTGTTTTCTTGCAAGATAGAAACAAGATTTTAATTTCAGAAGGTAACCAGGTTTACCTACGTCGCACATGGTACAAAACGTTACTCCAACACTGTTTTTCTTTCTCATATCGAAGCAAATAAAAATTTCATCTTTGCCGCATCGTTCGCGTTGCCACAATATTTTGAAACTTGGTTGTTCGATCTGCTATCTTAATCCCAATGAGAACTGTGGGTATACTTTCCTACTTTTGAAATTCTCAACAGTACGGACCCAAGCCACTTCAGTCAATTGGACTTGAGAAACCTTTTGCGCAAAAGAAGACTTTCTAAAGACGCGTGATGCACATGTGTGACACCGATTCATAAGTTTATTCAATGTTGCTCATGTCTGCTAGGGTGGAAATGATGGATATTCCTTTCTCTCTTCCTCACATATGCCAAAAATGAGACTTTGAAGAAGTTTCTGGAACATGCAGACGGCGAAAGCGCAAGGCTCGTCGGGAAAAAAAGGTGAAGAATCCTAGTCAACATGCATGAAAAAATGTGCGAAGTCCTACACAAGTTGAAAGAAGTTGGAAGTGTGATTTTGTGGCACGGATGGAGGTCACTGAGGATCGATATCTCCCTAAACACGGAAGGTCTTAGAATCGTTAAAGTCACACAACTGCGTTTGTTCACTATGGAACTTGCTTTGCTGCCCTGATTTGTAGCGGTTGTCTGTTTGTCAGCTAAGCTTCATAAAACATAGCCGGATCGTGATGGAAATAAAAACCGGATGAAATCCAAGAACCTTGCAACTAGCTGTTGCATCATATAGCGCACTTTATGGAACCTGTTGATGGAGAATCTATGAAATGGGCGATGTATTGTTTGCAAAATCGATCTCACAAGAATTTTTAGTATCTGCATGAAATTACAAGACAAACACAGCATTGACTAGGCCCATTTCCAAAAATTCAAAGCGGCTGAACTTTTTTTTATTGTAAAGGCACCGAAATATGAAAGTGCGGAGAGACTGCTATAGAGAGACTTTTTCTTCAACAGGTGTGAGAAGCAGATATTCTTCGCAACGCCTTCAGATGATTTGATTTGATCTCTACTATTTCCGACAGATAAACCTGCTTCGCTCATCAAATGCTTCAAAGTTCCGTTTTACGCTTCGAAGATTCGAAAAACAGTCTCTATCGCTTTCCGTTTTTTAGCGGCTGTTTTTACCAAGACAGCTTTCCTTTTAAGTTCGAACGGACTTGTACGATGTCTTCCCCATCTTAGTGAAAGTGGGTAGCCTCTATTAATCTTTTTTGCTCTTTGGTACCAAGATTCTATTATGAACTTCCCTTTCAAGGCATCATGACTAATTGTGTCACATTTTTAGATTTTATTAGACTTTCTTTCAAATATGACGTCATGCTACACGTATAAATGACATCATCTGTGCAATGACCGCTTTGAAGAAATATTTGGAACCTGGTTGTACCTGCAAGGCGTTAGAGGAGCATGAAATAGGTAGCAAAAAACAACGCAAAAACGACAAAATCGTGGGATATGCTTTATAGGCACGTGATCTTTGAGATTTCACTACTGTGATTAATTTATGATCAGCTGTGCTGACTGAGTGAAAAAATTACTGTAGCATGAATCTTTGCTTCATTGGTGAACCACTATTGAAATCGTCACAGCCTAATCAAGACAAGGCAATAAATAATTTATTACAATAAATTACTATTCCCTAAATGTACAATTTACACACTAAATCTAACAACAATCGAAGATCATGAACTCGTCCATCTGTGTACAAAGCCTTCTCCTCCTCCTCCACCTCCACTTTCACCTCCGCCTCCGCCATTGTCCGCAAAGCTTCCAACACCAGAATTGCCACCAAACCCTGGGGGTGGTGGGGATGGTGGCAATCGTGGTGGTGGCGGGGCTCCGTAACCTTCGCCTCCGCTACTGCCTCCGCCAATACCAATTGATGGTGCTGCTGGAGCTCCATAACTTCCACCTCCACTGGAGCTTCCGCCATTACCACCACCACCACCACCATTACCACTACCTCCACTATTGGCAGTTGATGGTACACCATAACTGCCGCTACCGCCGCCGCCGCCACTTTCACTGGCACTGCTGCTACCAGCTTCACCTCCACCACCTCCGCCATTGCCGTTACTGCTACCGCCCTTGCCGTTACCGTTACTACTAGTCTCACCGCCATTACCGTTAGTGCCATTCCCGCCGCCACCACCGTCACCACCACCAACAACGACACCACTAGGAGCATAACCGGCACTCATAACAATTTGAGGTACAATCAAATAAATTGGCGGCAAAGAAGGCGCTTCTGATGGCGGTGGTGGAGCAAATTCAGGAGCTGCTTCGGACTCAGAAGTTGATGCAGATTCGCCAGGAGGTGGTGGAGCAAACTGAGGTCCAGCAGCACCTGGAGCAGCACCTGAAGCAGCACCTGACGCTGCACCAGAAGGGCAAGAACCGGAGGCGGATGCACCGTTACCGGGAGGAGGAGGAGCAAATAGAGGAGTCAGCCCTGCAATGCCTCCGTTACCTCCACCAGGAGGAGGTGGAGCAAATAGCGGAGTAAGTCCTGATGCAGTTCCACCAGGAGGAGGAGGAGCAAATAAAGGAGTCAGAGGAGCAGGAGGATTCAGTGCTGATATCGCTGATGTCCCACCGCCAGTACAAACAGGAGCATTGAAGAGACCACTCGTAGCACCTGCGCATATGGGCGTCAATGGTGGACAGCTTGGTGCAGGAGGTGAGCAGGGTTGGCAACAACTGTAATGTGAATAGATTATCGGGCTACATGAGAAAAGGAAAACGCACCAACAACATCCAGTACCGGCTCCAATGCCAAGACCACCGCCTAGTCCGCCGAGATTACCGAGTCCACCGAGCCCTCCTCCAAAAAAGCAGGCTTCAGATGTTATGATGTATGTTGTCAGCAAAATCACAATCGATAATCGCATGCCCAAAACTGGAATGAAAATACAAGGAAGTAATGAGCTCATCAACAACGAAAGAAAACCTAGAAAAAGTGCTCACCTGGCAGGTATCCAGATTCACATGGAACAATCGGCTTCAAACACGACCGCTTATATAGCCATTAGGATTGACGTCTGAGAGCTAGTTTCTTGGCTTGATAGAGAACCAATCCGAACGTATGAGAACGTAATGACATCTTTGCTAGCATGTCCGTTGAAACTGGCACTGTCGACGGAGGTGGACCGTTTATGACCAGCGAGTTCATTTTGAATGCTGCTTAATGCACTATCTTAAGCTTGCACGATGGCTTATCATCACAAAAAGTGTAGGAAAAAGAACGCATTGAGAAATGTGCGCCCAGAGAACAATGCCAGTCCCATTTGTAATAGCTATTTTTCCATTTCACGCGTAGTGAACTAGATATGCAGATGACATTAACTGCATCTGTCTAGTTTAAGGCACTTTTCAGACTTTTTTCTGCATCCTTAAACACTTGTGGATTCTATGTTTGTGAGATATAACCAAAATAAGACTTTTTCACAAATAATGAGTTTTGACCACACAGTTATTTGATGAAATTTTTAATTCCGACCATTACTTGTGCAAATGTTCAACGCAAATAAAAAAATTGAACTAAAGTTTTCTCAGATACATTACGTAGTTTTTTCCGTAGAGGAGCTCCTGTCAAAAGGATGATAAAAAATACTAGTGGTGCAAAATTTTGTGCGAGTTTAGAAGTATGACTCCACCGCTTCAGATTTACCTGCAGTAAATAATTTTCAAATCTTGGTCACTCTTTAGTCACTATTTTGTGCCAGCGGACGTTAACATACATCGAAAAACTCACTAAGATTTCCACTGCTTGAAAAAACTTAGAAAATAGACAAAGATTATTTGCAGTACCACCAAAAGGCTTCTCTCCTCCGTTTCTCACCCTTCCGAACTTAATCGTTTGATTTGTCCGGTTCATGGCCGGACATTTTCTCATGTCTTTTGGTATTTCATTCGATGAGTTTTGTAAAAAAGAAAGAGAAGAAAAGCAGTTGTTGGCACAGCACCGCCTGCTCTTTTTAATACCTCGCTGAAAAGTAAAAAGCTATAAGAGCAGAGATTTATTACTTACCCACCACCACATTGCATTGAGAAATTCCTCTTTTAGAGTACTTACTATTGACTAATTTTTTCTTCCTTTTATGGGCGAATGTTGCAGACGTCCAGATATAAATCTAATATCATGATATTGGCAACAATTGTCATTGTTACCTACTTTCTCTTTTCTTTTCTCAATTTCGGAAACGTGATCTTTTTTCTAAACGATAAATTTGTGTAGTTTTATCTGTAAACTTCAGTATACAAATATATTCTTTTGATAAACTTACCCAAGACACGGGCTTTCTTGTAACTCCTATTCTTGCTTCGCACAAGCTATATCTGACCATGCAAGAAACAAACAGGGAATAAAAACGGTAAGCAATAGAAAAGAATACTTTGAAGACTTATGAATTGAGTTTGCCGATGAACGAAACTTTGCAAATTAAGAACCGAAATAATCTCCGAAATTCAGACGATATCCATACAACTTGCACTATAGCAGAAAACTCGATTCGAACAAGGCTTTCAATGTTCATGTTTAGGATAATTGAAGCACATTGCACACTTTATTACATACGTTTCAAATAGCAAATTACTGTGGCTACCATAAGAGGAGCAGATCAATCACAGAAGGATTTGTTGTGAACGAAGTTCGTAAAATTGCTTGTCAATGAAAAGCTAGCTTCAGTCCTATGAATCCTTCTTCGCTCTTTCATGTCAGCTTAAAACCGGCTTGCCTTCCGGAGCCAGATGGTCACCGCCTACCATTTTCACTTAGCGTCTGCAATTTATGATGATCATAAGTTCGCAATGCTACTTTGGCTATAGCCATACTGAAAAAAATGTTTGCAAGTCTCCAGCAACGCACAACAATGAATCCATTTCACGTCCTCCTTATCATGCTGTCTGTACTTCAAACGCATTTCATCTCTCTAACATCGCGAAGCTTAGGCCCACTTCTTCTTCAGGGAATGTCCTTCAAAAGTTTAGTAATTTGCTGCACACTAGCAAAATCAAAGATGGAGTGCCTCCGGCCTATCTTAGTTCAAGTTTAGCCGTTAGCACCTAAAATATTTGCGTGAAACAATCTGTTACAGAAGGTTTCAATTTTTGCAAAACTACTTTAAGCTTGGCAAGGTGCAACTGTTCAAGATGAAGTTTGCATTGGCTTTGAAAAACAGGAAAGCACATTTGGATGCTTGACAATGGCTCACAAAATCAACTTTCTAAAAATAACGATGTGTTCGCCCAAAAAAAGAAAAGATTTTTTGCAGTGTCTGATTGCAAAAATTTAAAATGTCAGCAGTGGCAATAATTTGGCCGAAACCACCACACTTCAACTGAGCATTCATCACATGAGATAACCCGCAACTTCACGTCATCTTTCTCGATAGAAAGACGAGGTAAATGATTATTTTTTTGTTTCCAGATTGTATGGCGGCTTTAAGGCAGGCGCTATACTCCTCGAGGAGTACAGCATGACGACGGGCGATCGCCCGTCGCTAATCGATACGTACTAAACGTGTAGTCGCCGATATTGGCGATCATTACTCATTTCCCGCTTCCATTTCAAAGTACTCACCAGCCGGTGAGGTCGCCCTAAAAAGAATGAACTGCAAGACCAGTGATTTTCACATTCAACACTTAACGGTAACTTGTTTGGCGACTGGCGATCGCTGGTTTTACACGTATTTGATGCATATCGATCGTCGCCATGCTATACTCCTCGAGGAGTATAGCACCTGCCTAACTGAAAGGCAGGCGTAGAAGTAATTTGGTCAAAACCATCATCTTGATTATCTTTTTATCACACTAGGTACAACCAGCAGCTTCACACCATTTTCTCAATAATCACGGGGTAACTAATCGAAAACAATGGAGATGAGCAAATTGTTACACTTTATTTTAGACTGGCTGGCATACCGGGCTTCGCTCGGCTTGAAGTGCTTGAATAATTTTTCGTCTCAGGTTATATTATACATGAGACTTAGGATTTTAACGTCTCTGTCCTCGTAAGGTCGACTATCATACACCGGGCAAGCTCTGCGGAATGAAAGTCAACAGAGTATAGGCGATTCCCATGCGTAAAGCGGGCGTGGCCCTGAGACATTTGAACACGTTGGAAAACTCGCTGAACCTCCAAATCAAAGCATTAGTTTTTTTACTCTCTAGCTGCCAAAAACTGCCAAGCGCATACGTTGGCAAACGTCGGCAAAGCTCCTCCCGCTAAAGAGTGGGGAAGGGACGATAAATGATTAGCATTCTGTCACAATGATTAGCATTCTATCACAATCCAATAGCGCTGGCGCCTGCATTGCTTCACTTACTATTACTTACCGACGCTTTCAAGAGCCAACGATACTTTTTTGATGCTAGACATCTCTATTGAGATGTAAGTATGTTACTGCCTACTTTTTTGTGATTATTATTGAAGTCTCTCAAACATTTCTTATTTTGAAAATTACAATACCTAAATTCAAGCGTTCGAGGAGCAGGGTTTTTTTTCTAGAATCGACAGCCCAAACATGCTAAAGGTTTTCGCGGGAGCCTCGTGTTGCATAATGTCTTAGAGAGCTGTGCGCCATAAGGATGGTTTTCCGAAACACAGCTGCTGAGCGGATCGCTTAGGAAATCGAAAAAGCTGCGCCTTACACGCTTAAATTAGGGTACTTTTGGTCTGCAAGTGTTTTTAGAAGCGACGCTTTATTAGCAATAAACCTTAGGAGTAAAGCGTTATGACAGTGCAGCTTTAGCGCACTTCAAGAAAAGTCAGACGCAGGTAGGGGAACATATGTCGTCTACAGGCTCCCACATGCACACAGCTGGTTACAAATCTGCTATATCTGTAGTATGCATGGATCCGTGATCTGTTGCAGATGCCCGTGGGACCATCTCTTTCGGTGACATATAGTCCTTTATCTGTCAGGCGCTTGTAAATTGAAGATAGCACACTCTTCAATGATTTCCTTCCGAGGCTAACGATAAAGACGTGCATCAGAACTACTTCTTTGGCTTAGTTTGCACGAATAAAACTCAAAATGAAACATGCTGTGCTGTCTGTTGCCACCCAAATAAGTAAAATGATAATGACTGTACAATTTCATTTTCTCATGCAAGAATGCGAGTTCGATAAATCAGTAGAAGAACCCAGTGAATTACCACAAAAAGTAGCCTACGATAGCCGCCAGTGTCGAAAACGTAGGCTTGCAAAGTTTTAACCTAAACTCGAATCGAATTTCCGATTATTCTCATACTTGACCGCCTTCATTGCGCTTTAGCAAATCTGAAATTCGTTCTCCTCTCTTGCATTCTTCCATAAACTTATCGCAGTAAACAAGTAAGACTTCTCATAGTAAGTCTCAGCATAATTACTCTCATTCCTCTCAACATGAGAAACCATCACATTTTCGTTTCAAAAGGAAAAGTGTTGGGTGGAGGACATTAGGTCGCCGAATTTGGAAGAGTCCCGCGCGGATTCCCTGCAGGAACGCATGTCCGCGCATGTACAAAGGTGCGTATTTGTCGCAAATGACCGCGGGGACCGCCCTTTTTCGGCGACCTAATGTCCTCCACCCAAAAGTGTTCAAGGGTACTTTTTTCATTTCAAAGAGTGATACGATGGTTTCACGTATACGTCTCATGGAATGAATTGGTATTTTCATTATCTATCTGATAGCGAAACATTGATGTTAACTTGCTGGATACTCGTAGCTTAATTTAGAATGAAATAATTATTAACAGAAATGGTAGCCTGCTAGTTACTTGATTGTTCCGGATTTTTGCACGAACGACTAAGAGGTTGCAGAAAATGATCATGGTTACCATTATATTGATTGAACTCTCTACGATGATTTCAACCAAAACTAAAACCACTCCAGAAGATGGACCTGGTTATCACGATGTAAGCCTGATCAACGGTCATATCATGTGATGCTTTCAATCAAATTACTATTACTTCAGAGTTTGATGTTTGAGTAGAAAAGATGAAGGCTTTTGAAAGAATGATGACCATTCCGATGTGCCATCTTAGTGAGGTTATGGAAGGTGTAGCAGGGCGATTGGAGCTTGCCTCAGTTTGCAGGGGTCTATTCTACACATAGGTGCGATGGGGTGATCGGGGTCCCTCGAAAGTGAAGGGTGTCCCAGTTGATTTTGACCTCCAGAAGTGAAGGG